GAAGAATGTATCCAGTGGACAATGGAATTATTCAATTTTCTGGGACTGAATGGTTATCAGGTATCCAAACAAGGCCCAACTAACCCAAACTCAAGTTTCGTACCTAGAATATGAAATAACAGGAGGACAGAGAGAACTTGGAACTTCTAGAAAAGAAGCCATTTGCAAGACTCTATGACCGTCGACCGTCAAGGAACTCCGGACATCCCTGGGAATGACTGGATGGTGCAGACTTTGGATCCATGATTATGGTGTTCTGGTAAGACCACTATATGAACTGTTGAAAGGAAACTCTCCCTCTTTAGAATGGACTGATACAGCAGAGGGGGTTTTTAGAAATTTAAAAACAGAGCTAATAAGAACTGCAGCTCTGTGACTTCTGGATGTGACTAAATCCTTTTGCCTGTATTCTTACGAAAAACCAGGGAATAGCTTTGGGGTGTCCTTGCTCAGAAACTAGGACCCTACAGAAGGGCAGTGGCATATTTTTCAAAACAGCTGGATGAAGCGAGCAAAGGATGGCCCAGATGCCTAAGGGCTGTGGCAGCAGTTATCATGAATATTGAAGAGGCTCGCAAATTCACCTTGGGACAAAAGATTACTGTGCTAGTGTCCATGTGGCATCAGCAGTCCTGGAGCAGAAAGGAGCCCACTGGTTATCTCCTTCACGTTTTTTTTAAATACCAGGCCACCCTTGTGGAACAGGACATTGTGAATCCAGCATCCTTTTTGCAGGAACAATCTGCAGAACCGCTAACACACGACTACTTGACCACCATAGAGACTGTATATTTGAGACAACCAGACCTGAAAGAAAAACCTCTGGAAAATGCTGATTCTTAGTTTACTGATGGTAGTAGCTTCATGAAAAATGGTGAACAAAAGGCAGGATATGCCATTACCACCACTTCACAGGTAATAGAAGCTAAACCTTTACCTGCGAACACCTCTGCCCAGAAGGCAGAAATAACAGCATTAACGAGAGCCCTGGAATTGGCTAAAGGTAAAAGGATAAATATTTGGACTGATTCTAAATATGCATTTGGTGTGGTCCATGCACATGGTGCTACCTGGAAAGAGCGTGGACTTTTGAAACTCAAGGGAAACAGATTAAACATGCTACAGAAATTCTACAATTGCTGGAAGCTGTTCAGCTACCTGAAGAAGTAGCTATTATGTACTGCAAAGGACATCAGCAAGGTGGCTCTGATCAGGAAATTGGACATAATTTGGCCGGTTTTGAAGCCAAACAAGCAGCTGAACAATTTCAAATCATGTTCTTAATCCCTGATGGCAAACTAACAATTGAAAAATCTAAACCTAGGTATTCAAAAGAGGATAGAAAACTGATTGAGGATCTAAAGGGACAGGAAAATAAAGAGGGTTGGGCTTAAATACCTGATGGGCAAATTGTAATCCCCTATAACCAGGTCTGGATGTTAGCTCAGGAAGAACATAATAAAACTCATTGGGATAGCAACTGTTTGCATAAATATTTAGACAAATTGTAGGAAGGAATCTATACACCACAGTTCAATTAGTGACAAAACAGTGTCAGTTATGTCTGAAGAATAAACCTAAGACTGAAAATAAAAATCAAACTGGGACAACTGGAAGAGAAAGTTATCTGGGACAGCACTGGCAAATAGATTTTTTCTGAATTAACAAGAAAAGGAGGTTATCGATATTTATTGGTGTTAACAAATACTTTTTCAGGCTGGTCAGAAGCATTCCCTTGTAGAATAAACAATGCAAAACAAGTGATTAAAATATTATTTAATGAGATAATAAGCTCATTTGGGGTACCAGAGGCAATTTCTTCTGACCGAGGCTTGCACTTTAGTGCAAAATTGTTACAAGAAATTAGCAAAAATTAGAAACTGATTGGCAACTACATGTTCCACACAGGCCTCAGGCCAGTGGGCAAGTAGAAAAGATGGTTCATCTGATCAAAAAACAGATTAGTAAAATATGTCAGGAAATGAATTTACATTGGTATCAAGGTTTACCACTGGCTCTATTAAGAATTCAAACTAAACCTCAGTCAAAAGAAGAGGTTAGCCCATTTGAAATTTTGTATGGAAGACCATATCAGTCCCAGTTCAAAGGAGAATGTCTTCAGGAAGTGGGGGAAGACTATCTCTGACAGCTTCTGATCAATCTGGGAAAACTATTGGAGGAGATAAATAAGAGAATAGTAGGGACAAGAGCAAGAGGTTTGGGTTATCTGATTCACCCTTTCAGATCTGGAGACTGGGTTTATGTTAAGAATTTTTCAGGAGATCCTCTACAGGAGAAGTGGAGTGGACTATACCAGGTATTACTGACCACCTTTACAGCAGTGAAGATAAAGGAACAACCTGCTTGGATATATTATTCAGGAATAAAGAAAGCACCAGAGCCAAAGAAGACACGGTGGATCAAACCTTCAGTACCCTTGCATATGAAATTGCATCGGTCATAATTTGGACTCATATGATAACGGGCATACAAGCTTGGGACCAGAACTTATACCTGAAATTAATGCAGAATGTTACTAATGTTTTGATCATAGTGACTGTTGGGTGTGTGCACAGTTGCCTAAATCAGGAGAAAGCCTGGATCTCCCATTAATTGAAGTTCCAATTCCTAACACTGTCTCATGGACAAATTTATGGGTGAACACTAGTGTCCTGGGTTCAGCAGTAGCAGTCATTTTTTTTCCTTCTTGGTAGCTGGTGCAGTGCTGTGTTTTGACTTTCGGCCTGGGAGCAGAGCTGATAAAAATGATGTTTTGGTTTGGCCAAGGACTCTGTGAGCCTCATGCTCTGCCAGGGAGGAGGGGAAGCCGGGAGGAAGCAGAGACAGGACACCTGCCTCAAACTGACCAAAGAGGTATTCCATACCACAGCACGCCATGCCCAGGATGTACCTGGGAGTTACCCGGAAGGGAGAGTGGACTGCAGGGTTGGAGGAGGTATTGGTCGGTGCTTGGGCTGGGGGGAGGCGAGTTATCGGTCGCCTGGTGATGAGCAGTTGTATTCTCTTCCCTTGTTATTTCTTTATCATTATTATTATTGGTGGTAGCAGTAGTGATTTGTGTTATACCTTAGTTACTAAACTGTTCTTATCTCAACCCGTGGGAGTTGCATTCTTTCTGATTCTCATCTCTGTCCCTCCAGGAGTAAGGGGAGGGCAAGAAGGGGGGGGGGAGGGGGGGGGGTCGGAGTGGGTGAACAAGCTGTCTGGCTGGGGTTAAACCATGACAACTAGCAATCTGTATTCAAAGGAAAGGTTAACATTTGGAATAGTTAATCCTAACCCAGGTAAAAATACTACACCTGTGCACAAAGATGTATTACACCAGGAACCAGGGTAGGAGATTATGCTTGTTTAAATGCCACAGATGTAGGTCGCCATTCAAATTGCAATCATACAATTAATATAGATGGTATTGTAGTTCAGTGGTGGCCCGTTCCTAAAGGGAAAGGATGGTATTGGTTATGTGGAAAAAATGCTTATAAGATTCTAACCCCACCTGGAAGGGGGCATGCACCTTAGGTGCTTTAATACCCAATTTTACTATTATCAACAGGTACCCTTCTGGGACCTGGATTAGAAGTTTTGCTAAACGAATTAAGTGAGGGTTTAACCCTATTATTAAACAGCACACCTCATTTCATAGTTTTGTAAGAGGGCTAATTCCATTTTTGGCAGTAAGTGAATTAGAGAAGGCAATTGTAGATATCTCAGCAACCATAGAGGAAATGGAAAGTAAAAACATTGATATAATCCAGGCAGAGCAACAAGAGATAACTAGCCTATCTAAGGTGATATTACAAAACCGAGTGGCTCCAAACATGTTACTGGCATCACAAAGAGGTGGTTCTTCCATAATCAATGAAAGTTGTTGTTCCTATACAGACTAAAGCAGCAGAATTGAAACAGATCTGGAGGAAATTTGGAAACAAACTAAGATATTTCATGAAATGGCCACGGACAACACCTCCTGGGGTTTTGAAGAAATATGGAAAAAGTTAACTTCATGGTTACCCAATCTCTTCTGGTTCAGGCAACTGGTTGCAGGAATATTGGTGTTAATTATTTAAATATTGATTAGTTGTGCTATGATACAATGTTCCCTCTGGTGTTGTAAACGGTCTGTGATAAATTATGAAGATTGGAAAAGGAATGAAATGAAGCAACAAGTAGAAATGGGAAATTATTTCAAAAGACTATTGATGGTAATAGTAAAATATAAAATGTTGCAAAAGAATTTGCAAAAGGACAGAAAAACGGGGGAATTTGAGACAAAGGGACACAAAATCACAAAATGGAATATAGAAACCTTTATAGTTTTAAGTAATGTTAAGTTTGATGGCTTTGTAACAGTAGCAATGGAAAATTACTGAGGTACATGATACATAGAGGAAAAATAAATAGAGTACAGCTAGAGAACATACTGAGAATTCTCACAAGATAAATCATTATAGTTGTCCTAGTTTTAAGAAAAACAGTCTAGAAGAACAGGACACAGGGATAAGGAGTATCTGGGAACTGCAGGTGTCCAGGATGGGCTACAGTTAAACTAACTGGTAAGTAGGAGGATAGGAGGATTGTTATGTCTCTGGTGCTTAACGAACCAATTAAACTGGTATGAGCATCTACTGCGCGTGCTTCAAAGGCTTCCAGAAGTTATGAAGATTGTTGGAAGAAGTAAACGACCCTCAAGACCACCACCACAATTCTGTACGCATGCGGGGAACTCTCTGGAAAATGATGTAATCCATACGTAGCCTCATGAACATGTATGTATGCACAGGGACTATATAAGGATGGCTTGTATAGCAATACCAGGACACATGTTAGGAGCAGTTACCCCCGTGTCTCCCGGTGCTGCAATAAAGAATACCTTCTTGTCAGAGTGAAAACTTTGTTGCAAGTTTGTTCCTGGAGTTTTCTCCAAATCAGGAGGTGGCTGCTACACTGTGATGTCATCTGTAGCACAGGCATCAACTGTGACGCTGGTGAAATTTCAAGGCAGCTGGAGCCACAGCTCTTCATTCTGCTGCCTGGCAGGACTGAGCCTGGCTGATCAGGGAAAGAGCCCTGGCTCGAAATTGCAGCCAAGCTGTGAAAAAACAAGTTTCAATGGAAATATCTTCACTAGAAACATCCTTGTCTTCTGACTGGGAAGAGCCAGCTTGGTGGGAGGCCTCAGCTTCTAACAACCATCCAGGAGGTGATATGGGAGCACGTTCAGGTGCTGCCACAAGACCCCTCACAAAAGAAAATGACCTTCAAGTTTTGCCTGATAAATCCTGGATCCCCATCATGCAATCTTGTTTCTCAGATATCTCTGCTAAAACCAACCCTTCTTCAGCCCGCTCTTTCCTCATGCGCCTCTGGAAGACAGTTGGAAGCCATCACTTCAAATCAGTCTGGTGGGCTGATGATGGAAACTGCATTGTCATTGCAGAAAAGCTCTTCAGAAAGGAAGTGCTGGGAAGAAGTGGACCCCAGAAGATTTTTGAAACCAAGTCCATGAGCGGCTTCATTCTCCAGCTTAATCTCCATGGCTTCTGCAGAATGGAAGGGGATTCTCTAATAACCACTTCCATTGAGGAGCTGCAAGAGTTAGCAGAAGCAGGGTCTTGCCAGGGCAAGGTATGTCTGTTTACACACTAAAGTACCCTTGGAACATTTTAGGGAGAGAGGTTCATGTTCAGATAAAATAAGCCTTGAAAAGGGAGGAGATGGGGATGGGAGAAAATGTCTGATTTTGTCTCATGGGTCATTTTCAAGAATTCCCAAAGCAGAATTTCAGAAGAGCAGAAATTATGAGCAAAAGACACTGTGGTTATTTCTGTTCCTTTAAATCTATGAAACATAAAGATAGTCCCATTATATCATGCTGGTTTTGTGCTTGCACCAGCCATTTAAGTAATCTTGTGGCATCTTCTGAATGCTGACAAGAAACATGGTAGCATCAGCATTATTCCCAACATATCCATTTCACACTAAGATGCCTGAAAATTAGTGTGTTTTCGTTTCTCCACTGGGCTTTGGGCTTTTGAAAACCCTACACTTCTCTGCTCCTAAATGCTGAAAAGACAAGGGCCTATTGCTTAACAAAATTCTATCTTAATCTTTACTTCAGCTGAAATTTGATACTTAAAATGCCCCAGAAAGTCCTTTTTAATTTGTCTTTTCTGATGCAGATGTTTATTTATTGGACCTCTGTCTTTCAATGATGGCAACTAACTCGTCTCCTTCACATTTTGTAGCTGTTCTTCTACTACAACCCCTTTTTTAAGAGAGACTACCCCAACCTCTTAAAGATATTTACAGAAAGTGCTGGCAAAAGAGAGAGAGTCCCCGCTGCATCTTCTCTGGGCCCCAGGATGAGGGGAAACTGCAAAAGAAACCAACAACCTGGTGCTCAGTCAGCGGAAGGTGCCACAGAGGCGAACAGCACCCAGATATCTGCAGCTACCAGTTCCACACCAGGTGAGCCAGAGGCTGATGCAGCCACCCAGACAGACAGTGCTGATCCATACCCACCAAAATGGCACTGCACCCACAGCCCTGCATGTGTCCGGGGGGCTGCTCTTGCTCCATCCACAGCTTCACCCTACTGTGACACACTTTCTCTCCAAACAGTCCTTCAACACTAGCCATGGGATTCCCCACATTTTCATCTGGGCAGCCCAGTTTAGCTGCTGTGCAGGTCCTTTGTGCTGGCTTGTCTCTGTTCTGTGCTCCACAGCTTCAACCTCAGTGCTGGCTAGACTAGAAATGGCAGAGATCATAGGTAGCAAGTAAGCACCATAGAGGTAGAAATACATTAGTACAGGATTAGGTAGCAATACATTGTTCTTCTCAAAAATAGATCTCTTCAAGTTGCCTTGTCTCCTGTCTCTACAGTACCACAGTAGCTGTCTCTATACCCAGGGCAGGGAGTTGCCTTTGGGGACAGAGAAGGGTTTGGTTCCAGCAGATGAAACTCAAAGGCTGCTGGCACCAGTACGTACGCTTGTGAAACCCAGCAAAAGGCCATCCTGGGACTACTCCTGGAGCTGCACCAGCATGCAAGGTCACTCAAGTCAAACCAATCCCTCACAGCTCTTAGGAAGTCCATTTCCCTTCCACCCCAGCTCAGGCCAGGGGCAAGGGGCAGCTGGCCTGCAAAGACAAGACTTGGCTTCTCCTGCCAATCCCACATCATGTCTGGTGATAACCAGCACTGCAGATGGGAAAGCAATAGATCTGTCATACAGGAGTCAGAGCCTGGACTTTCTGGAGAAATAACCTTTCCCATCAGCATAGAATCATACAGCAGTTTGAGTTGAAAAGAATCTTTAAAGGTCACCTAGTCAAACCCCCATTTCCATAAGGAGGGTCATCTTCAACTAGATTAGGTTATGAAGAGACCAGTGCAACCTGATCTTGAATGTTTCCAGGGATGGCCAACTACCACCTCTCTGGGCAGCCTGTGCCAGTTTCTCAACAGCTTCATCATAAAAAAATCTCTTCCTTATATCTTGGCTAAATCTTTAAAACCATTAACCCTTGTTCTGTTCCTACAGGCCCTATTAAAAAGTCTGTCTCCATCTTTCTTATGAGACCCTGTAAGTATTGAAAGTCTGCAATAAGGTCTCCCTGGAGCCTTCTCCAGGCTGAACAACCCCAACTCTCACCCTTTCTTCTTAGGACAGTGCTCCACTCATCCTTTTTGTGTCCCTCCTCTGGATCCACTCCAACACATCCATGCCTAGCATTTACCAGGGCTCTGTAGAGAAGAGGCTTTTACCAGAGCATTTAAACAGGACACAACATCACAATCCACTTTGTTTCCACAGAATGGAATTTAAGTTTTTGGTGAGAGCAGACATGTAACACCAGTTGTGGAGTATGCTTCTCTGCTACTTATACAAAAAGTGTATAGTGCTCATGACAAATTGCATCAGCAGTTCACCCTCCCTGAGCTTCAACACCTCTCTGCAGAGTGAGGGCAGCCTGGCAGGTCCATCCCACGGGGCAAAGCCCCTGCCACCCAGGGCTCAGTGAAGCAATATGCCAAACCCCATCCTCTCACCAGGAGCAGGGAGCCTGCCTGCTTGCTTATGCCAGAGCCAGCCTTGGGTGCTGGGGCGGTGCTGCCACCCTCTGCTCTGAACTCACAGAGGCATAGAGAGGCAGCAACCATCACCAGAACCCTCTTCTCACCTCTTCAGTTACAACCTCCTGCAAGAATGGCTGTCCTTTAAAACAGAACAGTCCATTTGAAGGGTCCTAAAAAAGACGTTTGGTCCAACTGCCTGAACACTTCAGGACCAAGAGCTGAAGCATCTTCTTAGCCTCTTCAACATGGACAGACATGAGGAATCGACCACCCCTCTGGGAAGCCTGTTCCAGGGTTTGACCAGCCTCCCAATAAAAAAATGTTTCCTAATGTCTATTCTGTACATGCTTGGGCATGGCTTTGAATCATGCTTTCTATATATATATAGTATTTTTATATATAATGATAGAAGCTATGGATCTTACAAATATCATTATTTTACCTTTAATAATTCTAGTAGATGGACTTTTATAACACCATCTTTTTGCACTGAGGTAATAAATTTACTAATAGAACAAGACAACATATATAAAATAGAAACTGTGTTATTGGAAACTAGCAAATGTGAGTATCCTGAGCATCAGACTAGTAATTATGGATCTAATATTGTTTTGTTGATACAGCCGACAAGACAAACTGTTCAAAAACGTTTCTTTGTGCTATTATTGCAGGCACTTTTGTTGTTGTTGTTCGGTTTGGGTTTTGTTTGCTTTTTATTCTAAAAGATGGCAATTTTATGAGGAGAGCAAAGCCTATGTTACAGGAATTGTATTGAAGTGTCAAGTAAAAGTACAACTACCGTGGTTAAAGGAGTGGATCCAAATTCTGACTGCTCAGCAGGCTTTCTGCATTACTTTGTAATAGGCACCTTCAGTCTCTGCAAGTTGACGAGTCAAAAACAAGTTTCTCCTTTCCAGAGTGAATTTGTCAAAAATTCACTGAATAATTTGTAACCGTATGCCTACTTCTACTCAGTACCTCTTGTGTGTGCATTATGTTTTTTAAGCATCAATTATGAACTGCCTATGGTCTGGGGAGACATGGGAACCTGAATGCTAGCACAGTTTCACTTTTTTCCCTGCAAGGCTTTTGTTGGAAGTGGGTTCTCTTAGTTCAGCTCTGTTACCCTTGGGAAATGCAAATGATGGCTGTTGCTTTCGTTACCATACTATGTGCCACAGAAATCTGCTTTGACCTTGAAAAAAATGCTGAAATCTCAACTCCTTCAAACCAGGAGAAATGAGATCACCTAATTGAGAGAGGAGAGGTCGCAAATATTTTGAATGTGAGCTCTGGAAAAACAGACCTCTTCATTAAGGACCTAGTGACTCCCCAGTGGTGTAACTTGGGTAACTCCAAGCAGTGTTAATTTAAGCTTTGAACACACAGGTAGGAGAAAGAGAGGACACTGTCCTTCATGTCATTTTGCTGTTACAGTGTAAAAACTTAGGCTGTTCAGCCTGGTAAATTAGTTTTCTTGGAAACTTCACCTAAACTTTACCCATGACATGTCCAGAGCTATAACAGGGGGAAATGCTTAATTTCCCCCAGCAGAGAAGCAGCACTCCACAAGCGCAATTTGATTATTTACCTTGTGTGAAGTATACACTTATTATAGAATAAAATCTAAATGTGAAAATCCAATAGCACTTACTTTCCTAAAGGAAGAATAATATTGCTATCACTGCTATAATTATTATGCTTTGAGGAGCTTAGGCATGTTGCATCTAAGCATGGATTAATAACTTTCTGCCTCAGTCACAGGCATTTGCATGAAAATAAAACCATAAAAACACCATTCGCCTGCTCAAAAGTAAGGGAATAATCACCAGCAAACAACATAAAAGCTGTAGTTTTAGCAAACATTTTGTTAACTCTGAGCAGATGTTATTCCTGAAGCTGTGGATGTTGGAACATTAAAGCAGTGTATGCCATAGCTCATGCCAACACCATTGACAACTCAAACCTGGGCAGTTTCATTTGCTGGCAAGTGTCAAGTTATTTGTGGTATACAGGGAGGTGAACTTGTCAGGAAACATGTAGAAAAATCAGAGGGACTTAAATTCAGTTTGGAAGAAATATCAGTAGCAGAGATGATTTGGGGATTGCTTATATCGCCTTGTTTTGCTTTATTTGTGACTGGTGCAGTACACCTTAGGATGTTTGAAGTTTTGCTTCTGGCTCCAGTGGCTGCAGATGACACTGGCCACACTGTGGGTGAAGGGTGGAGAGGTGACACATGGGTTTTCACATGGAAGAACCCCAGCCCAAGCATTTTCCGGGTGTTCTGTGCCAGCTCTCATCAAGCACTGGGAGGTCAGAGCTGCTAGGGAGGACAGAAAGCACAAATGCTTACCAAATTTGCTTTTGTGCTTCGACATTTTCAGGGGAAAAATGCAGAAAGGTTGGCCAGACCTACTGGTCTGTTGCCAAAGATTAACTTCATCTTTTCGCTTATTTTTTTTTTTTTTTTTTTTTTTTTTTTCCCACCCAGAAATCAAATAGCTGGGAAAGAGCTAATAAAGAATGTATCACAGCTTATTCTCTTATCATAACTGTGATGCAGCTTGCGTCTTTCATAGAATCATACAATAGTAGAGCTGGAAAGGATCTTAAGATCATCTAGCTCCACCCCCCCCTGCCATGGGCAGGGACACTTCACACTAAACCCTGTCACCCAAGGCTCTGTCCAACCTGGCCTTGAACACTGCCAGGGATGAAGCATTTACCCCTTCTTTGGGCAACCTGTTCCAGTGCCTCACCTTCCTCACAGTAAAGAACTTCTTCTTTAGATCTAACCTGAACTTCCCCCATTTAAGTCTGAACCCATTACTTCTTTTCCTATCACTACAATCCCTTTCTTTCAGCTGTCATAAACACCAGATAGACAGGGGAACAGGCTTATTTGTGAACATACTACCCAGTACGTATTGCCCTGCATTATCTATCTGTCTGTTTCTGCTTACAACTAAAAGTAGGACTAATAAACTACAAAGTCTTAACAGGTTTGTGCTGTATTTATTTTTCCATCTGCAGGCCTATGCCAGTGGAAATGAAAAGAAGAATTCTTGGTACTCGTAGATGTGAATTCTCAAGAAAATATGCAGAAGTGACAACAATATATACAAAAAATAACTGTGGTTTTGGATTAACTAAAGTATTTGAAAATTTTTTGCTAAAAAATTTGTATTTCTTGCCTATTGCATGAAAAACACTTTTGACAGAAAAGAGGAAAAGCAACTACATTTAGTAACAAAAATATCCTATAAGGTGGCTTTCTAAAGCCAGCACTTTAAAGAAAAATATTTACACAGTTTTAAGAAACTTAAAAACCTCTTTGCCTCTACAGGAGGTATATTGTAAGAAAAGTCAAAGGTTTTATTTGTTTGTTTGTTTCTTTCTTTCTTTAGAGTACGTGTCATTACTGTTAAGAGAGGTTAAGCCCCAGCTGACCTGAGGATCTGTCATCCTTACCCCACAGCATCAGATATTTATGGGTATAAACCTCTGAACCTTCTCTTCGCCATACAAAACTGTCCCTGAAAAATATGAAAAATACAAAATACTCTAAGCCTTTCTTTATACAACAGATACTCTAGTCTGTTCACCATCTTTGTGTCCCTTCACCAAACTCTGGTAAGTCCATGTCTCCATACTGGGAAGCCCAGGACTGGACTCAGCACTTCAGGTGCCTCTCACTAGGACTGAGTAGTAGAGAGGAAGGATCACTTCCCTTGATGTGCTGGCAATATTCTTCCTAATGCAACTCAAAAAGCTGTTGGACTTCATTGCTTTAAAGGCTCGTGTTCAAATTGCTGAACTCACCAGCACCCACTTGGTGCTGAAAAATTGAAAATTGCTCCCCAGGATGTATGAGGCCTGTGGGTTATTTCTGAAGGTTCAGGGCTCAGCACTTCACTTTATTGAGATTCTTGAAGTTCCTGTCAACCCATTTCCTCAGCCTGTCCAGGTTTTTCTGGATGGCTGCACATTTTTCTGGCCCATCAACCTTTCTTCCCAGTTTTGTATAATCTGTGAACTTGTTGAAGGTGCACTCTGTCCCATTGTCCAGGTCTTTAATGCACATGTTAAACAGTATTGGCCCTGCTACCACCCCCTGAGATATACCCTGAGTGACTGACTTCCAACTGGTACTTTGTGCCACAACCTTTTGAGCTAAGCAGTTTAGTAGTTCACCTCACAGACCACATATCTAGCATGTCTATCTTCATATCTCTATTGTCAGTTTTTCTGTGAGGTGCAAGGTCCTTCACCTGGGTTAGGGCAATCCCAAACACAAACACAGACTGGGCGGAGAATAGGGTAGATTTAGATTAGATATTAGGAAGAAGTCATTTACTATGAGGGTGAAGGGACACTGGCACAGGTTGCCCAGAGAAGCTGCGTCTGCCCCATCCCTGGAAGTGCTCATGGCCAGGTTGGACGGGCTTTAAGCAACCTACTCTAGTGGGAGGTGTCCCTGCCCTTGCCAGAGAGGTTGGAACTAGATAATCTTTAAGGTCCCTTCCAACCCAAATCATTCTATAATACTATGATTCTATGATGTTATGAGAGACAATATCAAAAGCCTTACCAAAGACAAGTGACATCCACTATGCTTCCTTAAAATAACAGGCCAGTCACTTCATTGTAAGAGGCTAACAGGTTGGTTAAGCATTATTTTTAATTCTTAATCCATGCTGACTGTTCCAAATCACCTTCTTCTCCCTCCTGTGTCTGTGGAAAAGATTTCTACCTTTTCATCAGCTGCCCAGGGATTGAGATGAAGATGACTGGCCTGTAGATCCCCCCATTTTCCCTTTTGCTCCTCTTAAAGATAATAGTGATCCTTGCTTTCTCCCAGATTTCAGAAACATTTCCCAGTCACCATGACCTTTCAAAGTTAATCAAGAGCAGTGTCATAATTCCATCAGCCAGCTTCCTCAGCACTCTTCTGTGCAGCCCATTAGATTCCATGGACTTACGTACACCCGGTTAGTTTAAGTGCTTCCTAACCTGGAAGCCTACTAAGGGCATGTCTTCCTTGCTGTAGACTTTCTCAATGGTCTCAGGACCTAGGATTACTGAAGACTGATATTAACAATAAAGACTTAGGTGAAGAAGGCAACAAGCACCTTGTCCTTTTCTGTGTCCTTTCTCACCATGATTCCTGCCCCATTCAGCAGTGGGGCAACATTTTCCTTAGATATCCTTCTACTGTTCAAGTATTTGTAGAAATCATTCTTGTTTTCTTTGACATCACTTGCCAGATTCAACTCCAAGAAGGCACTGTTTTTTTCTAGCCGCATTCCTGCACAATCATGTCTCTCTACTCCTCCTGGATTGCCTGCTCTGCTGCCCTATCTTGTACACTTTGTTTTTGTGTGTGAGCTAGTCAGGAACCAGTCAGGCTTTGCCATACTTGCTTTATTTTCAGCTCACTGAGACAGGTCAGTCCTGAGCTTGGAGGAGGTGTTTCTTGAGCATCAGCTAGCTCTCCTAGATCCCTCATCTTCCAATGTCATGTCTCATGAGTAATGGTTAGGCATCACCAGACCAAAATGTAAGGCTTACTACAAGTAACAGTTTTTGGATTATGAGAAGTTTCCGGGAGCACCAGCCACTCGTTAGATATTTTCATTAGTGATGGACTTATCAAGGCACCCATTCTCCCTAACTTGTTGATGCTGCAGCAGAAAAAACCAAGGGCAGTCATTGAGTTCAGGTACTAATTTGCATTCATAGTTTTGTAAATCTGTTGTAAGATAACTACTGCTGAGATGGAAATGTTAAAGGAGAATCCACTTAGTCTTCTCACTGCTGTGCTCCAAATACAACACATGTGAAAAGATCAGAAGACTGTTAGATGGATTATATTTGTTGAAGCTGGAATTATACTCTGTAATTGCATACCCCAATACATATTCATATGGACTGCCTTTTAAACTTTCCAAGTTCAGTGTTCAAATGGTAATTTTGTTAAAATATATTAAATGTATTCCTTTTTTTCTTGGCCTGTACTTCTAAAATGTCATATAAGCTCACTCATCTGGAAAGCTTTCAGTTAATAAACAGACTCTGCAATCTATGGTAACATTCAAATGAAAACTATTACCCTTACAGTCTTGATAAGGTCATATCTGTCAAGATAAATTGTCAGTTTGTGCAAGTCTCCAAAGATTTCAATTTACTTTCAGGTATAAAACAAGAGTAACCCTACATAAACATATCATAAATGTAACTCAAGTCTAAAAAGTATAAATCACCTTTTGCTACAAGAGATAACACCTAGTTTGAAGACACATTAAGAAAATATGAACTAAAAATCAGTGGTCTTTATTTTATTTATTTTATTTTATTTTACCTGGCATGTAATGGGTTTTTTCAGTGATGGGCTTTCAGAAGTGTTATCTAATATAGGCAATTTATGGAGAAGAACTTACTTTTTTTAATCAGGCTCAAGGTATCATGTCATTGATGACAATAGGAAGCACAGGCAAAATTTTAATTTGGGTTTTTTTGGGGGTATACCAGGAGCCACAAAATATAGCAATGAAAATGTCTTTCTGAACTCTAAATCCTATTCTGAAGACATTGTATTTTTGAATTTTCTTTTCAAGAACTTAAGGTTCCGTAGAAACATCACCTGGAGAGATGCTCTATTGAGCAAAGGTGAGGGATTTGGATGGTCCCTTTCAATGACACTAATAAAAGTGAGATATGGAAATTCCTCTCCTGCCAATTGTAGTTTTCCAGCTCAGGCTCTCACATAGTGCTGTTAGGTCAGGCAATGCAGTAAGAGAACCAGACAAAAGCATAAATTTATGGACTCTAATAAATTGCATGGATCAGTACACGGACTAAATACCACTGGGGTTAATTTATCTCCTACCCTAGCAACCACTGAATGTATTAATAACATTGGGGTTTTCCTCCATTGAACTAGTAGCTAGCTGATAATGAAATTATATAAACTTAGAACTAAGTGTGACATTTTAAGTCCAGACCACAAATCCATTACTACCTGTGCCACATCTTGAACAGATCTTGTGAAATTAGTGTCTTATTGCTAGTTTTCTGGGATAACCTGAAAATTCAGTTGTGGTTTTACCATTTATTAATCATGTAAGTTACTGTAAATCACTTCAGTGAAATCATTAAATTCTCTGTTACACGGGGCTCTGGAAGATGTTTTGCCTATGTAGTGTAGTAGCAATGAGCCTGTCACCGTCAGTGGACATGATACTGTAAAGAGTGAAAACGTATTATATTAGTAAGGTTTCTGTTGCTTTACGAGTCTTTACATAAACATGCTAATGCAAGGAGCTGACATGAAATCCAGAGGAAAGGCAAACTGAAAGTTGGGTTTTTTCAATCAGAACACATTTCAGACAGCTCCCCTTCACATCCACAGTTCATGAGCATTGGCTCTGAGAGCTCCCCAGCAGCATGAGTTGAACCCAAGGAGGCACAAAGAAAGGAACATTTTTTGGCATGGAGACAGTCCTCTTCCGGCTGTGCCTTTAACAGTAAGACTACTGTTAACTTCATCCTCTCTCAGAATTATCTCCCCATATATTTATCTGTGTAAATATCATATATTAAAAGAAACACAGTCTATACACATGTGTGTTTTATACATTTTGCTTTAAAGTAGAAAACCGATGAATTTCTACCTAACCTTACCAGACCCGTTTGCTTCTTTTGCCTGTTTGGTTCTGAAGGCAAGCAGAAATCCCTGTATTGTTGTCCCTGAACGTCCCATTTTTATGTTCTGTCTTCTACTTTCCTAGCCTTTTTTCCAAGTATAGAAAAGGTGTTTCTAACATAAGATGGTATTACGGGAGCTGTCAAAACCAGCCAGATATCACTGTATGTGTTATTGCACACTGCTTCTGTGTTTGTAAAGCATGAACAAGTAGCAATATCTGTGTATGCAAAATCAGAATATTAAACAGCTGTACTTCTAGTATCTTCAGGTCAATATAGTATCTTTTGTTATGCTGTGGATAGTTTCCATGTGGCGTGTTAGAGAAAGCATGGCTACTTCTGACACGGAGGTTGCATTTCTGAGGCAGTCAAAAACACCTTATTCTTTTCCTTAGAAATTCCCAGAGGTACAGTGATGATTTGAGGT